TATTTATAAAAAATATTGCTTAAACTAATAGCTTCATCATATAGGTTTTTCTTTATTATAATCAATATCTTTACTTGTAAACTGTTGCATTTTTGGCTAATTTTAGTTAGCTCGGTGCTGTGCTTGACAAAGCATGTTACTGAAGACGGTAAAAGATAATCACCCTCAAGGGAATAGATGTTTCAGTTTGCAGAAGAAATATCTCCATGATCACCCATCTCTCTCAAAAGACATGGGGGTGGGGTGTGTATTTTTATTAAAAGGGTGGAGGCAGAAGCACAAAGGTTAACATTAAATTTTGCTTTTAAGAAGTCTCATGAAAACACAGAAGAGTTAACAAGGTAGACAATAACCTCCTCTTCAAGCTTGCTTGAATTTTTCATTGTGACAAAAAGCTAGAGGGATTTAACTGTAGACTTAAGTTTTATGAACTATCTCAAAAAATTGAGTTACCATGTCAGCAGATAGATAAGGTAAGAAGCTGGCTAGCAAAAAGCAAAGGTTATTTTTGTGTGAAGTCAATTAGCAATGCCATATGTTTCAATATTACATGTAAGACCCATTTTATACACCAATAATGTGGAAGAAGGGACCTGCAGAAAGGGAGCAACATTTGCTGATAGGTATGGGGGCAAGCAAATACCTAGTTTTATGTCGTGGAGGAGGAGAGTAAGAGTCAGAGTGACTTTAACAACATAAGTACTTTATGAATTTCAGTCTAAGGAAATACAAGTAATCCGTGCAGAAGAAAATGGGCACATTCCTATTTGCTCTACATTACAAGAAACCAAGCAGGTGAAACAATTTAGTACAGCAAAATAGTTAGGAAAAAGGCAAACAAAATTATATAATACTGTAGTAATATTAGATTCACAGAGAGCAGGGTGATTAATCTGCTGATGGTGAATGAGATGCTGCTCTTCTGGCTACTGACTGAAAAGTGATAGGGCAGCCAGGAGGGGAGGTTTCATGGCAGCTGAGAGGATACGTGAAGACCTGGGAGAACAGCAATGATGACACTTGGTGGTGGTGACTGCTCATGGTGACTGAGTTGGGGTTTACGGAGTTACCTGTGAGTAATTGGGTGCATTTTACTTTAAGAATAACAAGACTCATATGCACAGTGTAGACAAGAACACATAAATAGTGTAAATAAATAAATATCACCATTTCTGACTCTGTGACGTAAGTTTCTCTCCAACAACGGTAACTACCTGCTGAAAAGCCATGAAATTGCTGATCACTCAGGTGAGGACAACAATACATATGGACAGATACTTTGCAAGAAGAATTCTCCCATTATAGAAGCTACATTCTGAATATTATGCATAATTTTGGTCACTCTACAAATGCTGTTATAAAAATGAAATTCATACAGAGTATCATCAAACAGCTGCTCACAACTGGTTAAGTTAGAACACAGTTTAAGAGCACTCTTAGATTCCTCACTTAAGCTCTCATACAACAGCAACTGCAAGCAATGCTTTCTACCACATATGGCTGGCTAGGGCACTGGATCCCAATCCTGGCGGACAATGACCTGGCCTCAGTAATACACATCTTTGTCATGTCCCATCTGGAGTACAGCAATGCAATATAGTGAGGCATGAAACCACCAACCCTCAGGAAACTGCAATTAATACAATACCAGTAGCATGTCTCCACAGTAACATAGGCTTTCATAAGCACATTTTACAAGCTTCCATTCACTATGCTGGCACTGCACAGAATATTACATCAAATTCAAGGTCTTGGGCCTTACATTAAAGGGCCTGGGGCCTGGATACCTTCAGAGATTGCCTAACACTCTTGGACAAGAACTGTAGTCAACAACTCCACTTCTTGGACACAATAGAGCTGTCTACTGCAAAAGTAAAGCTCATTTATGCAAGAGGCACAGCTTTCTTAGGGGCCTGTCCACGATGGAATGTTGGGGGTTAGACTAGATGACCCTTGCACTCCCTTCTAACCCTATGATTCTATGAATTCCTACAGGATTTAAGAACCATCACAAATAACACCAACTTCGATTCAAAGCTGGTGCATTTTCTTCAATCTGGCCTTTGCTAGTAAAAATACATAGCATATATTAATTTTTTAAATGTAAGTTTTAAAAAATTTACATGCAGTTTTCCTCAGAGGGGAGGCGGAGAGTAAAGAACTACATATTACGCGTTAACATGTTAGTCATGTTGCTGAGGTGTTGGAATGCGCTCAAACAGCATAGTCATGGGTGTTGTGATAACTGGGCCTACAAATTTACTCTAAATGTAAGGCTCAACTGTAAAAAATACATGAAGGTTCATAAGATGTCACAATAACCTAAAGTAACAAATGTTGATGGGAAAAGGTATGAAAGAGAAATAGAAAGACCAAACAAAAAGGCCTATTGATATAACTCAAGGACCATGCTTGGTAAACAAGAAAAGTGTGGAACCAGAACCCAGTGAATCAAAATTGCTTTGGCAGAAAGTAGGCCTAATCGGTTGACAAAATAATAAGGTTATGCCCACTATTCCCTTTGTGGGTCTTTAAAGAAAGAGACTTTGGGGGGGGGGGGGAACCCTTTTGCGTTTCAAATGTAGACAAGCCCTGAGTCTGATTACGGTGGAAGCAGTAGCAGCAGCCAGTTTTCTATCTTCAAAAGCTTGTCCTGGCTCTGGCCCACTAAATTTACTGCTGATGTCATGAATGTGTGCTCTGTATGATTGGGTGCATGCTCTTCTTCCTAAAAGCAGTAAGAGGAGGAGATAAACACAGATCCAACCTAGTGTCAAATTAAACCCCCCACAGATCAAGTGTAATTGATGCTAAACTAATAGTCTCTTTTATTCTAAAACAAGAGGTCAGTGAAGAAAAATGTCATATAAAATTTAGTAGGAGTGTGTCCATAGGTTGACTTACATTTGACTGTTAACTGGACATTTACATTCATAGAAGACCTTAGCTACCCAAAACTGGTTCACTGGGCAGTCTGCATCTGCCAAAATAGATGGGGAGTATTTCAAGGGAACCCTCTTACACTCAACTTAAATCTGGTCCTTTTTAAGAGGAGTTTAGAGTTTGAAATTACTCCTAAACCTGCCGCTGGATTCCCCTGTCAAATGTTGTCATTATGCAATCATGTTTTCCCATCTTCTTCTTCTTTTTTTAAGTTTCTCTATCCTGTTACTGTGAGAAAAAACCTCACAACAAAAAAGAAGAGCTGCCTATAGTAAAGATTTATATTTAAATTATCTCTACACAAAGAACTCTCATATTGATAAAGTAGGTAAGTTTGCAGGCTTAGGCCTTGTGTGTTTAACTTTATTCATATGAATAGCCCCAGTGAAGTCTAAAACTGTCAAAAAAATGAACAGTCATTTTCTGTCCAATATCTTTCAAGCTATAGTAATCTCAGGTGTTCATTCTAATAGTAGATAAAATAATTCAAACAGAAGTATGTTTTTTAACTTGACAGCATCCCTTAAGAGTACTCAATTGTTCAGTTTACCTTACTCTGCAGAAATGGGTTGTTCCTGATAAGTAAACACACACCAAACATTTATCAGAATTTACACTTAGAGGCTGATGTAATTTCCAGCCCCTTATATCACCCCTTCTCCCCCCCAGACACTTACACGTTTTTTAAGGGGCTAAAAGTCACCCACCCATGGCAGGGGCTGTATTTGAACTGTCAACAACAGAAATCATAATTCAGCACTTGTGGTAGCAACAGAGAAAGCTTTAGCATGAAAGGACTCAGGCAGGTCAGGAGTTTTCACCACTGTGTTGATTAACCCTGGAGAGAATGTGTGTGCTCAGATGAGTGAGAGGATAGGGTGGTAAAAATGCCCAATTTATTTCTCTGTTACAGCTTTCACTATTGCTATCACTGATGGAACTAAACCAATGGCCAACAGTTGTGAATTACAGGTTCCATTTTTGCCAAAAGCAAAAACAAAAAAAAATCATATGCACACACTGGGAGTATGTTTGCAGGGCAGTGATTGTATGAACTTTGTGGTTCTCTCTCACTCTTTTTCTTTGTAATCACTTATGGCATACACATAGTAACACTGTTTTTGGTAAAAACATTCTAGCGCATCAATATAGTGCATGTCTTACAAAGTTCATTTTAGGAACTCCTGAAACACCAATTCCAAAATGCTCAATACTACTCTAGGAGCAAGGCTTTTAGCTAATACCAAATGCAAGGTGCTGTACACTGGAAAATAAAGTTGGGAGGACTAGCTATAGTGCTTGTGGTTTCCTGTCCAACATGGCAGAAACCACTGGAGACTATGGGTTTTGCAAACTAGAAACCATTACAACAAATTCTTGTAAAACGCCTTGGATGGCTGTTGTATATCATGTATTCCAAGCAATAGCTTACTACTACGTCTAGTTTATGCATGCAAGACTACTACTGTCCTATCCATTAAGAAATTGATCTGTTGCTGAAAATAGTTCTCAAAATGGATCCTCCTGAACCAGTGCTGTACACTGCTTAGCTAGTATAGACAATAACAGACCATTTTTAGCACTGTTACAGATATAACAATAAGTTGAAACTCTAGGCAAATAACAGAATTCCAGGCACACACTCTCCTCTTGTGTGGAGGGAATGTTGCACATAAAAATATTCAACGGCAGCGGCAACATTCTGGAGGGGAAAATGTTTTTTTCAATACAATTTTGATTAAAGGATAAATGTCATGTAATAGGTGTAGCTGCATATTTTTGCACAAGGAGCCTCCATTCACTCTAGAACATGTAGATATGCCCATACAGAATCTCTCCTGGGAGTGGTGTTATGGTAGAGTGCCAAGAACACTGTTCCTACTTCATTACCTGTGGATACAAGGGGGAGCACTTATGGCTATTCAACGGCATTTATAGCTGGAGGAGTAGCTGCAGTGGTAGTTTGTACTTTCACTTTTAACCTTTTTATGTTAAGTAAATAGAAAGTCATCCATATAGTTACACAATGTAATGTTGCCCAGAGTTAGAGTACTTACCATTTGGGGTCCAACATTCACGTTTACTGGTCCTAAGGTTTTTGGCAAAATCTTAGCTGGGGAATTGGTGCTGGAAACTGGTAATGCAATTACTGAAATGTTACCTAGAGAAAAGTGATAAAAAAAACAGAATTCTAAATTATTCCCTTAAACAGTAAGCTATGAGTAATGCTTTAGTGAACTCTTTCTTATGTCAAATTTTGAAATATGTGAGTTTCTTCTCTTTCTTGTACTTTGTAAACATACCCTCACAAAAGGTCAAGGTCTTTTAACGAGACACTGTCAACTCACCAGGCCCCAGATTTTTACTTACCTTAAAAGTTACATTTTAACTTACATACTTCCTGAAATAATATCCTCTTGTCTCCACAAAAAAGAGGAACCCACCGGCTGCCACATACTTTAATATAAAAAGTTAAACTCATGGGTGTGCCTACAAAAATAGACCCACACCTGGATGATATTTCTGTACTTACAGTGGGCTAGTGCTGTCATTGTAGTGTCACCTTACCAGGATGAGGGCTCTGATCACAATGCAAGAGTGGTAGTTCCCATTGCAAACCATCACCAAATAGTTATCTGTTGGGCACTAATGCGGTGATGGAAAGTCCAAAGTCCTGTCATGGAGGTTTGCATGTCAATGCATACTCTATGATGGACAAGCTATTAGATCATAGAAGCATTTAAACAACTGAAACCCAATGTGCCCAATTTGCTCCACCCCTCTGTCTTAATAAGCCCATGAGTATACTGACAGGAAGGATTAATGCTGATTGGTGATACAGACTTTAGTAGATCATTGGGGAATGTTCCTGTATGTGTCCACAGGTGTCCAGGCAAATTGCATATACCAGAATTCTGAAAAACTGTTTCTCCCTCTCCCCACCCCGCCCCAAGAGCATGCAGAGGGCAACTCTCTGTTCCCACCAAACATCTAGGCGACCTACTGATCTTACATATCCACTTTTCCCATGACTAATGAAACCAGTCCTAAACCTTTCTCTCCACCACCTTGATTCTTTTCCTTCAGCCTTTGAGTATGCTGTAACATACCTTATTCTAAAATCCCTTTGACCCACTTATCTTTCTACTGCCCATCTCCCTTTGGCTCTAAGGTCCTTGACGATGTCCACCAATTGTCTTGACTTTCTCTGCTATAACTCTCTTCTGTATACCCTGTAATTCAGCTTCCACCTCTTCATGCCAATAAAACTGCTCTAACTCATGTCACTAACAACTTCCTGCTTCTCAAGCTTAAGGGCATCATCGCCAGAGTTGTCCTCCTCAAGGTATCAACCACTTTCACCTCAGCTGACTACTCCCATCATCTTCCACTTGCTCTCCTCCCTGGATTTTTACAATTCTGCACTCTCCTAGTTCTCTTCCTAGCTCATGAATCATGCATTTTGCTTCCACCTTTTCCTGTTCCATCAGAGTCCTTCAGGGTTCTATCTTCGTCCATACGCCCTATCTTTTTCTCCCTCTATACTTTTGCATTAGGTGACTTGATCCATTTCCACAGTTTTAGTTATAATCTTTAAGATGACAAACCTCAAATTTCTCTTGATACCTCTAACCTTTTTGTTTGTTGTTTGCGTCTTGCATCTCTGTATGGCTCCTTCACATCATCTCAAACTAACTATAACAAAAACAGAATTTTGAATATCTCATCTTCTCTCTCTGGGTTTTTCCATAAACTGACAGACAACACCATCCTTTTACCAGGCTCACAACCTCAGTGTCATATGATTTGTCTCCTCCTTTGCCAATACGTAGCCAGGCTAATGCCAAAGCCTTCATCCTTAAGGCTTCACTAAAAGTTCCCTTCCCTCTTCATCTTCAAATTAAAATTCCTACCCATGTCAAGATCAATGTCTTCAATTCTGGCCTCTTGCCATGTCATTTCATCCTCTTCTAGGCTATACAAAATGCTATTTGTAAAAACCATCCTGCTTGCATGTTGCTCTAAGCCACTCTTCCTCATATTCCTTCACTGGCTTCCCCGTCTCCTTCCACATCATGTTCAAACATTCTATCTTCAACTGTAAGGCTGTACACTCCTCTGCCTAGACCTCCATATTCATTTCCCACTACTCCCAACTCCTGTTATCTAAGCATTTCCCAAATCTCCCTTCCAAATGGTTGTTTTGTTTTCTTTACTCACTTGCCCTTGCTCATTCTTCCATGACTCCCTGATGCTCAGAACTTCCTTCCTGTACCTCATTTAAACCACACTTCTTCCATGAAAACTTTCAACGACAACATTTAACCAGAACATACACAAAAGGGGGGGAGAGGGGAGAATGGTTACTTACCTGCACTGTAACTGTTGTTCTTCAAGATGTGATTCACATGTGTATTTCACTCAGGTGTATGCACCCCCAGCACGCTGGAATCAGAGATCTTTCTGGCAGCAGTACCCAATGGGACGGTGCACGCACCCTGGAACTCTTGGGGCTCTTCCCAAGGCTATATAAGGGTGGTGTTGCTCTGACCCCACTCAGTTCCTCTGAAGTGAAACATGTCTCAAGACACCAAGGCAGAGGGGACAGGTCATGGAATACACATGTGAACCGCCTCTTGAAGATGTAATACTTTTTTCTTCTTCGAGTGGTTGCACATGTGTATTCCACTCAGGTGACTCACAAGCAGTGCTGTTAGGAGGTGGAACTCAGAATCTACTTAAATAGTGACTGTAGGATCGCTTTCCCAAAGTTTGCATCAGATCTTGAAGTTGTGATGGTGCAATGGTGAGTGGAGAGATGCACAGAGAACCAGTGTCCTATAGCTGTCCAATAATATGGGAAAATCCCACAAAAATGCTACCGAGGTAGCTTGAGCCCTTGTTGAATGGGCCAACAGTCTCTGCAGTGGATGGGTGATGCAAGAAATAATCCATTTGGAAATTGTTTGTGCTGAAATTATCTGACCTTTCATTCTGTCAGCAAAAGAGACAAAGAGCTGAGGAGATAAACTAAAGGGCTTAATGCTGTCCAGACAAAAGGCCAGTGCTTGCCTTGCATCCAAAGTATGAAGGCACTCTTCATATTCATTTGAGTACAACTTTGGGGAAAAAACAGGCAGGCATATTATTTGGGTCAAATGAAATGCCCACACTACTTAATTAAAAACTGATGATGGGACCTCAAGGCTACTTTATCTTTGAAAAATTGGGTATATGGAGGACCTGCCATCAGCCTGAAGCTCACCTGTTCTTTTGGCTGATATAACTGCAATGAGAAAGGATATCTTTTGACAGAGATGAAGCAAAGAATAGGTTGCCAAACGCTCAAAGGGAAGACCCATCAGGGCCACTAGTAGAGTGTTAAGGTCCAAAAGTGTGTCTTTTACAAGAGGAAAAATGCAAACAAATGCCTTTTAAAAATCTAACCACCATCGGGTTTGAAAAAAAATGACTTCCCTTGAATGGGAGGAAGGATTTCTGAGAATGGAGCTAAGTGGACTCTCAGCGAACTCAGAAAAAGACCCGAGGATTTAAGGTGAAGCAGACAGTCTAAAATGTCCTGGATCATAGCACCTGCTGGCTAAATTCTCAGACTAGTGAACCAGATTGAGAAACGCTTCCTAGTGGATTGCTTTCTACTAATAAGTATTTCCTGAACTGCCACGAAACAGTCTTTTTCCGCTTGATCTACCCACTCAAAAGCCATGCCATGAAGTGCAGGCTGCTCGGCTCTCAGAGCCACTTCTGTCTGTGTCTGGAAGAAGAGATAAAGGCCATAGGGGCTGAAGAGTCTGTGAAGATCTGAGAAGCAACACAATCTCGACCAGGCTGGTTCACTGAGCATTATCTCGGCACAATCTTGTTTCAATCTGACCTGACCTGAGGGATGAGCGAAATAGGGGGAAAAATACACGAGCGCCGCTCCCCATCTCGGCAGAAAGGCATCAGGCATTGAGCCTAAACTGTGAACTGCTTGAGAACAAAACTGACAACATTTCTTGTTGTCTTTTGTTGCAAACAAGTGTTGACTGACGGAATACCCTAGGCCTTGAATATGGTCCTCAACACACTGATCTTTAGGGACCATTCATGATTCCAGGAGAAACTCCTGCTGAGATGGTTGGCCAATTGATTCAGGAGCCAGGTAAGTGAGCAGTAATGGGGGCAATGCCTTCCTTAATGCAAAAGTGCCAGAGTTTAATCACTTTCCAACAGAGCTTATTGGACTGTGCTCCCTCTGTCTGTTCAAACAGTACATTGTAGATGTAGAGTCAATGAGTATCTGGGCCACTGATGTGAAGATCAAAAGCATGGCAGACTTTGTGAACAGTTCAAAGCTTAAGAACACTGATATGAAGAACTGCTTTCTTGCTCCATCCACAAAGCTTGGATTTGCAAATCCCGTGGCTGCACACCCCACCCTATCAGAAAGATGTCTGTAACATCCTCTTGGCTGGAAGGGAGCAAGTAAATGGTTCGCCTCCACATTCACTCTTCTGATCCATTCACCACTCTAGGGACCACAGAAAGAACCTTGAACAACTTGTCCATGGCCAGTTGATAGACTACGTTCAGCCATCCCTGAAAGATGTGCAGGCTTAGCATGACAAGCAGGGTCACTTAAGCACATGAAGTCATGTGGCCTAGTAGATTTAAACATACCTGAATTGTGGTAATGGGGCAAGACTTGAGAGACGGGCACAACAGGAGAATCACCTGAAATCTGTCTTGAGGGAGAAAAGCCATCAATTTAGTAGAATTGATTAGGCCTTCAATGAACTTGCTTTTCTGTCTTGGAACTAATGACGACTTTCCTTTGTTCTGCAGGAGTCACAGACGATCAACGAGACAGATGTAATGGACATGGTCAGGGCTTAAATTCTGAGAGATTATTTCCTGGAACCCGCTCCCCACCCATTCGGGGCTCCGGGCTTCAGCTGCTGGAGCTTGGAGCTTTAGCCCTGCGGTAGGATGGACCCGCGGGGCTCCAATCCCACAGGAGCCGCCGGGGCTCACACAGGTTTGAAAATATTTACCGGAGCACTGCTCCACTGGACTCCAGCTGAATTTAAGCTCTGGACATGGTGAAGAACCTGATGTTTGGATCTGCCTCACATTAATCGTCTAGCTAATGGAAGA